TTTTTTTTTTGGTGCTCTATTTACAAAACACTTAAATATACGCTACACGACATAGTTGTTGTTGTTTTTTTTATAATAATGCAAATTAGGCCTCCATTGTTATCGTTTATTTTTCGTTCCTTTGTCCCTGATAAATGATTCGATAAGGCTAAGTGATTCTACTCTTTTGATATTTTACGTACATTTTTACTTAAGATTTAGATAACGACGTATTTGGGAACGTGCCATAAGGACGAACCGCACTTTACGCGCTAAACGTTCTGCTTTCTCCTATACAATCATACACAGGCCTACTACACACCTTTACCTGTTGAAGACTTCACATTGGTTTGCATTGTTCTTAGACTAGACTCCCTATTCTTATTATGATCCATTTTTCTTGTCAGAATGGACCCCAAACACAGATACACACATCATGGCGTACAGACGGAGTTTTTTCCATCTTTGATTCGGAGTTGTCGTATGTTCGTACCTGTGTTTGTGTCAGCCCCAGTTTGGCCGCCAGATCGGCGCGCTCCGGCAGCGCGAGGTACTGGGTCTGCTGGAAGCACTGGTTGAGCGCCTGCAGCTGTAAACTCGAGTAGATCGTGCGGGGTTTGCGAATCTTCTTCCCCTTCCCGTTCAGCCGTATCTCTCCACTTTCAATGGAACTTTGCTTCTCGGAATCTTGAGTAAGAAGATTAAATATTACATTTAAAAAATATTAATACGCGCCGTTCCCGTCCCTTCTTTAGACGCAATGACGCCCCTAGTGTAATGTGTTCGGGAAAATGCACAAGTTTTCAGCTTTTGATGTATAGGCCTATCAACACGATTTAAAAAAACAATCGTTTGATTCGTTGTTTTAATACCAGTAATACCAAGAAATAAAAACGGGGCATTTAGGAAACTTCTCAAAAACGTTAAAGTCTTCTAAGTGGTAAGATTCACAAAGGTTGACAAATAAAATTAATCAGTGGGCCATGGATGTGCAAATATTAAATTGTCAACCTAAATGTATGAGTGGCAACTGTGGTTGCCTTATCTATTTATCGTAAATGTTTCGAGCATTACAGAGGCATTTTGTGAATCACTGCTATTCAGTAGGCTAGTAGCCTATAATATGTTATAGCCTACTGCTTTCAAGTCTTTTTTCACTGAGGAGAATAACATAAGTGATATGGAAAGTCACATGATTAGTTATGAAAATTTGTTATCGAAATTATATGAAAATACGTGAACATAAAAACGACACACGTACTAAAATAGGCTGATTTAATAAACATTAACTAAACAACATAAAATGTGGGCTAATAGTAAACAATAGCCTAAATAAAATTAAACTAAACGTGATGGTATAAGCGAAGGGAATTTTGGGAACTACATTAAGAATTCGACATTTTTACTTCTAGGCTAAAACATGTAAGAGCAGTCACTATTTTTACTTGAATAAAACAGCTAGGCTTAATTTAAATAATATTATCAACAAAATTATACGGCCTATAGCTATTTTAACCTCCAAACAATATAGCCTATTTTTGTTGTAGATTTTATAAACAATATTTTAAAATAACGTCTGACTATTATCTTTAAAAATACGTACGCTCGGCCTATTTTTAGTTATTTGACCAGGCTTTACGATAATGGCATGAATGTCTAAACAGATTTTCCTATCTCTGATTTCAATTTGACCCATTTTTTTTTTACAAAGACATATTGTTGTCTATGATATCTGCACTCTTAAAAATAAATAAAGAATGGTTCCGACATAGGTTTTTTTATGCAGCGATGCTACAGAAGAACCATTTGAGTTCCCCAAAGAACCTTTCATTGAACAAGAACCATTTTTTTCTTAGTGTGAAGAACATTTAAAAAATCGAAAGAAACTTTTGCTACTATAAAGAACGTCTCGGTTACGTATGTAACGAGGAGGGAACGGAGACGTTTTGGGGAACTCGCTTCGAGAGACCAATCTACTTTGAGTGTAAACTAAACGAGCTGCCGCTGATCACAGCGTGAGCATAAAAAGGCAGCAAATGCAATGCATACCAGGTTTTCGCTGAGGAGCCGAGCCGGTGACCCGGCCGCTCAGCTGTGGTACAGCAGCCATGGTGATGGAACGTGACGTCTCCGTTCCCTCCTTCAGGGAATGAGGGTTACATACGTAACCGAGGCGTTCCCTTTCAATCGGTCACTACGAGTCACGTTGTGACCGACGAATTGAGATCCCTACCAAAGCGCCATGGATACTGCCTGTGCGAGTCTCCTGCGCCCCTTTTTGGTGTAGGCCGGGGCACGCAACAAGAAGACCCACTCAGTGAGATTGGATAACACTGGGAAAACGTACCCGTACCACTTGGAACAGGAACGTTGCGGAAGCCCCATCCTTCCCGAAGGAGGTTTCGGAAGCACTTACACATTTGACATCCATTTAGGTGCATATGGAAGATTAGAGGTGATTGTAACCCTCATGGAATGGCAGAAGTCTGCTGGGGAAACACGGGCTCTGAGGCTATACCGTGGACTTTACACATATGGGAACCACTTAGGCCTCTACATATGGAACCCAGCCCTCTACCGGTTCTCACGGATTCAACGAGTGAGGGCCTGGCACCAGACGTTCCGCCATGTCTGGCTGCCGAGGGGACGGAGGAGCTCGACAAGGCCTACAATACGGACACTCTGGAGCAGTTTTAGTAAGCTGACACTAACCAGGGCCTCTCAGTGCCTCTACCCATTTGAGGTGAGAACACAAGAGGATACCGGCTATAGAATCTATCGAACATGTTGGGGGTCGCCCAGCCCGCAGCTCTTCAAATATCTGTCAGCGAGGCGCCACGAGCCAGCGCCCAGGAGGATGCAACACTTCTAGTAGAGTGAGCTCGCAACCAGAGCGGGCAGGGCACACCCTGTGCCTGATAATCCAGTGGGCCATCCTCTGCTTAGAGACAGCATTCCCCTTCTGCTGGCCTCCGTAACAGACAGAGCTGGTCTGAGGTCCTAAAGCTTTGTGTCCGGTCTACGTAGCATCTCAAGGATCGGCTGAATAGAGCAAAGCTAAGTCTGGGTCTGCCTCCTCCAGGGGCAGCGCTTGCAGGCTCACCACCTGATCCCTGAAGGGAGTAGTGGGAACCTTGGACACAAAGCCGGGCCAGGGCCTCAGGATTACCTGGCTCTCTAGGCACAAATCGTTGACCGAAAATGCGTGCAGGTCCTCTACCCTCTTGATGGAAGCCAATGCAGTGAGTTTTCAATGAGTTTTCATTGAAAGAAACTTTAGCTCAACTGACGGCAAAGGCTCAAATAGGCCCTGCTGTAATGTTTTAAGCACCAGAGACAGGTCCCAAGAGGGTATGGAGAGGGGCCGGGGAGGATTTAACCTTCTCGCCCCCCTAAGGAACCTGATGACCAGGTCATGCTTCCCTACTGACTTCCCTTCCACAGGGTCATGGTTAGCAGCAATCGCAGCGACATAGACTTTAAGGGTGGAGGGAGACAGCCTTTGCTCCAACCCATGCTGCAAAAAGGAAAGCACGACCCTGATCGGGCATCTCCGGGGGTCTTCTCGGTGAGAAGAATACCACTCGACGAACAGGTTCCACTTCAAAGCGTGAGCCAAATAACAAATAAACTTCAAATCTACCAGGGATGGGCTGTCGCGAGGAGCATTAGTTTGGGGAACCAGGTCCGAGTGGGCCAATACGGTGCCACAAGCAGGACCTGCTCCTCGTCCTCCCTGACCTTGCACAGTGTCTGTGCGAGAAGACTCACTGGGGGAAATGCATACTTGCGCAGGCCCCGCGGCCAGCTGTGTACCATTGCGTCCGTGCCGAGTGTTCCCTCAGTCAGGGAGTAGAACAACTGGCAGTGAGAGGTTTCTGGAGAGGCAAACAGGTCTACCTGAGCGGCTCCGAAACGTCTACAAATCAGCTGGACCGTCTTGGGATGGAGTCTCCATTCTCCTGGGAGCGTAGATTGTAGCGACAGCTCGTCGGCCGTATGGTTGTGCAGACCCGGAATGTGAATGGCACGAAGTGACCTCACACTGCTAACAACTCTAGGCAATTGATATGCCAGTGCAGTTGGGGACCCGTCCACACCCCCGACACTGCATGCCAGTTGTACATGGCCCCCCAGCCGGTGGTGGAGGCATCTGTGTAAACCACAGCATGCCAGGAGACCTGTTCTAGGGGCAATCCTGCCCAAAGGAATGTAAGGTCTGACCACGGGGTGAAGGTTTGGCGACAGGCAGGTGTAACTTGAACCCGGTGAGTGCCACGGTTCAAAAACAAAAGATTCTCCACCCAGCCCTTCTCCGGAAGTGGTGCATTCACCATCTCCCGAAGAGCAGATCCCTCCATCTCTGGGTCGCCCGTCTCAGGGCTGCTTGCTCTTCCGCTTGCCGCCAGGTTTGCTCCACAGCGCTGCTTGGGTGGAGGCTGCTGCGGATGCTGTGCGGGAGCGGGGTCTGATGAAGAGGGCCACCCTTGGCGACGAGCAGGCTGGGGCGCTGCGGCTGGTGGGCGGGTGGAGGCAGCAACTGCCCGCTGGGGCAGGATGTGTCGAATCGCCTCAGTCTGCTTCCGTACAGCCGAGAACTGCTGGGCAAAGCTCTCAACCGCGTCGCCGGAGAGGCTGGTCTGGGACACGGGGGCATTGAGGAACCAAACCTTGTCAGCGTCCCTCATGTCGGCCATACACAGCCAGAGAGGGCGCTCCTGGACCACAAGCATGGACATTGCACGACCCAGAGAACCCACCGTGAACTTCGCCGCTCGGAGCGCGAGGTCAGTGGTGGTTCGGACCTCTTTCAGAACTTCTGGATCGTGACCACCCTCGTGCAGGTCCTTCAGTGCCTTGGCCTGGTGCACCTGCAGTAACGCCATAGTGTGTAAGGCGGAAGCAGCTTCCCCGCAAACCGTATATGCACTGCCGCTCCACCGGGGGGACCCTTGTAACCCCCTAGCTGCACCACCGTCGAGGGTGGTGAGAGAGGAGGAACCAGCAGATCAGTTTCCGGCAGTAAAAGGTGCCATCCACGACCTGGTGAGCTCCTCATGCACTTCCGGGAAGAAAGGCGGAGAGACCCGGGCGGTGCGCTGAGCCACCCCGAGAAACCAATCATCCAACCTCGAGGGCTCGGGACGCGGTGGAGGATTCCAATCGAGTCCTACCCTTTCAGCAGCCTGGGAAAGCATAGCCGACATCTCTGGATCTGATTCAGGTGTTGCCACCGTCCCAGGAGTGGTGGGCCCCCGAGGGTTGGTTCCCTGAGGGGTTTGCCACCACTGTAACCCTCAGACCGCCCGCGCAACTGCTGGAAGTAATCCTAGCCTGGCTGCCGCCAGAACGAGCACTAGATCACGGCAGAGGCAACGGACCTCCCCCCCTGGAGGTAGCGAAGCCTGGTCCACAGCTCTAAGATGGTCATCTTCCCGCAATGGGAGCATGACTCATCCACGAACGCCACATCAGCATGCTTCATGCCCAGACACGTGATCATCACCTGGCGCCAGGTAACGATCGCATCCAGAAACGCACGGGTGAAATGGCATCTTTAAAAAGATGATCCGTCGTCTTTACAAAGAACAGATGTAAGCTCTTTTAGAGAAAATTGGCTCTTTTAGGGAAATGCTCTTTTACGTGCTGAGGTGCACAGGGGAGAAGGCTGCTTGCAGCACGACAGG